GCTGGAAAATTTATTTTGGGTTGTTCTTTGGTGGTAGGTTATAGAAACACACAGCTAAATTTAAAAAAATTATTTTTTTTTTTACTATTTTGGGCCAGTTTTCCTTTGATGATAAAAAAAATCAGGAGATATCCATTACAATTTACCACCAAATAAAAGCCCAATCCTGAAAAAAAAACACAGTATAATTCACCTGGATGCAGAAAGTAGTTGGATGATATGTACGGTTTTACTAACACATGTCAACGTTGCAAAATTGTGCTTAGGCATTTAGATTTGTTTTACCCTTAGGCATGACGGGGTTAATAATGCTTACCTGTAGGTACAGTGAATATCTCTTAAACATGCACCAATTAGGAGGTATTTACTCTAGAAGCGCCAGTGATATCACCAGCACATGTGCACTGTACTCTCAATGAATGGCATACTGTCCATTGAGAGAGCCATGCCGTGGCCCAAAACTCCCTTTGCAACATCGCAACCCAGCCGATCAGATGGCCACAACCCACGAACCCGGAAGGAGGACAAGCTGAAGATGGAAGCCTCTGGGAGCCGTGATAGCACTCTGCTGGAGGGCTTCATTTTCAGGTAAGTCATTCATAATGTACTAGTATGCTCTCCATACTAGCACATTATACTCTTAGCTTGCAGGGAGAAGATGTTTTAGAAATGTTTTTCGCAGTTACTACTGCTTAAATCAGCAATTTTCAAAATGTACCCATAGCAGCAGAGTGTTGTACTTCATCGATAGAAGCATGCTAATGTAGAGTTAGGTTTATAAAAACAGCAAGTATTAAAGATAACTCGGGTCTCTTCTTCAGACCTGGGGTGTCTTAAAAGTCCAACTCCAATTTTTTTTAGAGGAACAACACAAATTTGATATTTTTCTTCTTGTTTTGATTTGGAATAGAATGTGTAGTGTTCCCAATGCATTTGTGTGTATGGAAATAAAAGCTATTAGAAGGATTTTGAGCTTTATTCACTTTCAACACACTGCTACACAACACAACTGTATTTGAGGAATGGTATAGTTGATTTTAGTGCAGAGCCTGAACTTTATTGCTAATCAGACAAAATACAACCCTTTTCATTCTTAACTCCCACTACCTGATCGGTGGAATGAAAAAAACATATCTAAAAACTATTTTTCCTGCCTAAATCCAAGGTCACATGATTTTTGGGTCCCAGAAGTGGCAGGGTACTCTCGGGATCCAAAAGAGGAGTTAGTCATTGTGAGGGATGGTAGGGGACATTCACATCTGGATCAGTAGTCCCCACAGCAGAAAATGGCATTGAGGGTCATGGATAGTGGACTTTCTTGGGAGGTAGGGTTGAGACATTTTAGTTGTTGCTTGGTGCTTTAAACACTTAATTTTACTGGCTGAACTGCATAAGATTAAGACTGCATAAGATAAAACAAAGATATATATAAAACAAAGATATATAGTACTTATTTTTAGCAATGTAACCTGACAACAGAATGGTATTGCAATAATCCCAGAATAGCCTTGTGCCCTGAAACCCAGGTGGGAGCATTCTATTATGCAAATACCAGCTGCATCCAAGAAGTTTGGGCATTTGGTCTGGTAAGTAAAGCCACCTATTCCAATGACAAGCTAGTAAGGAGGCTTGAAATAAGGAAAGATTAGGCCAAAGAGCCAACTCTTAAGTAGGTTTGAAAATAGTGTCCAAGTTTCATGGTTCACAAGGCATCCTAAAAGATGATGAATGAAGTTTGGCCAGGCATCAATAACCATAAGTCGAGGTTGAATTTACCAATATTTTTTCCTGGTTCATTAACAATCTGTAAAAAAACATACAATGATGTTCAAGGTTTGGATGGTTACAAAAAGCAACTAAGGTATATAAATTACACGGCCTATCTCTGTATCCATAATCAAAGCCTGCTGCAGCGATGATGCTTACATATTGGTCCTCTTCTCACTCAGTGCCAATGCTGTGCTCAAGGATAAATGGTATAAAGGGTTCAGTTCCATTTGTAGTTTCATTGAAAGTTAACTGAAGAATGATGAGTGCCCCACTGGAGCTCTCACAGACTGAGAGGCCAGCCTTTGTGGAAAATACCAAAATATTCAGATTGTCAGTCTGAGCTTGCAAATGTCCACCTACCATCATATGAACTAAATGAACCTCAACATCATAAGATAGACTTATGGTATTTTCTTGGGCCCTTTCAAAATTGCACAACTAAGTTACTCTCTGTGAATTTCTTAAAATTCTGTTTGCAAAAACTACCTTTGCCTTTCACAGTGACTAAATGTTGAAGAGACTTGATATTGAACTTTGACCTTACATTGCTTGTAGGAAGTAATAATTCACTATCCTACCCCTAGGCATTTTTTACTCCTAAGAAAATATCAGTTATCTTGTTAGGTGGACCATTAAAGCCATATGCACATTCTTTCTGCTACAACATAAAAATAAAATAATCTTCTATACAAACAAACCATGTTTTTAGCAGCTAACAAAACTATTTTGGTTTGTACAAGGACATTGTAGAGATCCAAATAATGCTATCAGAAATGCGCAATGTTCATTCTAGGTTACACAACAACCAGAATGGTATATTTTAAAATCTTTTGTTGAAATCTTTTCCAGATTTACAGTCAGTTGGTCAACTATTACACAATTAATGGATATACTGTATTATGCACTTCTCTTTCGTGCGTGTGATAATCCTGTGAAAACTCCAATTCCTGTCTAGTTTGCCAACAGTCAAAAGTCAAGTTATCTCTGTCCTTCCTTTTGTTATCTTCCATCCTACATGGCCATACCAACCAACCAGGTCTTTACATGCCAACAAGTTTTCTGTGTAGACCTAACAAAAAGTTGTTCACTGCAGCACTCCAATCTGTAATGCATATCACTCTTCTCATGTCTCATGTGAGCCTGGTAAAAGTTTCCCTAGGAAAAAGTTGAACTGTAACTCCTTGGAGCAGCCGTAGAATTTAGAATGGACAATGATAGTATTTAGGATGGGTAGATGTTTTAGATGTCAATTTTCAAGCCTACCAGGATCACCATGATTTGGGCAGTGTGGAGTAGCAGTATACCTATAGTTAAACAAATCATTCCTGGGTGGAGGCCTCCTTGCATAGGGAATTACAGGTTCAAAATGTATTCAACATTTGGGAATCGTTCACTCAAACCGTGCTCGTAGAAATTCAACAATCTATAAGGCAATGCTTTCAATATTCTCAATGATATCTCATCATGCTCTTAACCAATGATCCTCTAATTGACATTCCACCTCCCTCTTAATTTGAATTGCACTTATCAATCTAGAAATTGAGGCCTCCCCCTCTTCCCTTTACTTGCTACCTAGTAGTCTGACCGCCATTCATTCAAATGTTTCTAAATATACCTTATTAGACCCAGCACTGTTAGGCCTCTCCAATCTTATACTAACATACTGTATATTGTCTTTCTTGATTTGACTTGCTGGCCAAATGTTGTGGTCATTGTTCTTGCTAATGGCATTCTCACAATAAAAAAAAAAAAGCCATCCTCTTTTTTGCAGGAGATGCAAATAGATTGGGACCTGCTTGCATAGAACAGCAAACCAAAAGGTCTCTGTGTTTAATAAGCCATTGCCAGTGAAGACAAGGGGAGGGGAAGTCTCTTGAAGTGGACATGTGTCCAAAACAAAGCTGTCAGTTGAGATATCCTCTGACGTTTTAGAAGAATTCCTCTATCTTTCTGTCATGTAACCAGGACAAGAAGTGATCGGAAATATTAACAACATGGTCACCCACAAAATAAAAACCAGAATTAATTAATTAATTTTTTTTTTTCTCTACTGGACCACAAGCAAACAGATTACTTGTCTGGAGTTTTACATTCAATTTTGAACATTACATTTTATGCTAAACATTTGAAGAAATATACCTAGTAACTAAACCAAATTTTTCTCATTTCATATAGAGTGAGTAAAAACCTCTGTAAGGATTTAATTGCTGTCTGTGTCTCCGTTAGGGAGATTCACCCTCTCTATTTGTCTTGTTGGCCAATGTCAGTAGGGCTAAAGGTGAGGAAAATCCAAAATTCTGAGTTCCAACTACAAATGCCCAAGAGAATATTTCCTTTGAAGCTGAACTCCGGAAAACTAAAAAGACCTCCCTTGCAGTGGAGCTACACCCACACTGCAGCAGTTAACTGATCAATTATGCCTAGGGGACCATGAAAAAGCAATTTCACTTACTTGATCCTATACTCCTGCAGGCCGAACTGCTAGACAGGTTCCTTCAGCCTCTCAACCCCTGTGCTCTGACAGTCTCAGTCTAAGGTTATCTGACATCAAGACCGATACAGAGCCCATAGTTCTGCACTGCTAAAGCTGGAGAGTGCAAAAAATTAGGCTCACTTCTGCATAGAAACCAATCTGCTTCTAACCTCAGTATGTTCAATTAAGCTTTTGCAATAAAACCCGGAAGCTGATTGGTTTCTATGCAGAAGCGAGCTTAATTTTGCGCTCTTTAGCTTTAGTAAATAAATCCCATAGGGCACTATTTACAAAAACTGGAGAGTGCAAATCTGGTGCAGTTCTGCATAGAAACCAATCAGATTCCAGATTTTCTTGCCAAAGCCTAATTGAACAAGCTAAAGTTAGAATCAGATTGGTTTACTATTAATCTCCCCAGAGGGACAGTTCACTACTAGAGTGGTCTTATTGGGGGGAGCAGGGACATTATTCTTGCCTTCTCACTGTTTTGTAAACCACACCCAGTAAATGTCTAGAATGGAGTGAGTATCACAAGGTCATTTTTTAAGCTGCCTAATTGGTGCATATCATGCATTTCCTGGGGGTGCAGAGGATCAGGGAAGTAAAAGTGTATCCGTGTGGGTGAAGGTTTCTGGAATTCAGATTTAATTTATAGATATTTCCTCTTACTTTTGTGCTTCCAAGAGAGGAAGTGAATAAAATATGCTCAGCAGGGGACAGCCAGCAAAAAAATCTTCACATGGATTTGAACAATTTCATGCTCTCTCCAAAACTAAACTTTAACGTAAAGAAAAATTATTATATATACTGTATATGTGTGAGTGTTTATTTAGAATGTAACACTTTCGGTGTATCTTCCCTTTTGCCTACAACACAGCACACAGACCCTGACTACTCTGCAGCATATGTGATTCTAGAAACAGATGCATCGGATGGTATAAAAGGATATGGCTTAACCTTTACTTTGGGCAGAGGCACAGAAGTTGGTAAGCAATTATTTTCTTTTTAGCAGACATGTTGAAGTTCTCATTTTTGCTTTCAAGAATAAGAGATACATTAGGGAAGTATGACACTGAGTATGTTGTAATCAGTCTGGATGTGTTCACTTTTACACCAAAAGAGGTTTTTCTTTTTAGAAAATAACAGGAACCAATGCTTAAAGACAATCCATCGCCTATACAAGAGCATTTGCTTGCCCCACACTGTTTGGATGGAAGACTAACTAAACCCAACCATTTATTAAGTTTTATATAGAGTGGAGAAGGATTAAAACCTGTTTCAGGTGTGTTTCTACCTTATTTCCTGTCCTAGTGACACTGTCACATTCTGATGTACAGGGTGTCGCATGTAATGATAGTAAATGGAAGCCTCCAATAGAGGCATGGAAAGAACTGCAAAATGCTCTAATCATTTTATACTTTGCTAAAAAATTAAAAAAACTCGCCACTATGCTGCAGCTGTCCCATACTGGCTTTAGAGAGAACTGTCTTAGGAGCAGAGAGCAGTGGCAGTCAGCCCTCTCTGCTTTGTCCCACCAGTGCTCACTGAAGCACCAGGCAGGAGATGGGGGCGGGTGCAGCTGGCTTCAGCTCTAAGCTGTGCATTGAGAGTCAGGGCCAGCTGTCAACGAGGCACATGGGTGGATCCCAACAATATGGTCGGGATCCTTCCAGAGCATGGAGCAGCTGTGTGATGTTGGCTGATAATGGGTTACAACCCTCTATCAGCTAAGTCTGGGACACAGGGGAGCAAAAGTAAGTACCCCCTAAGAGAAGCATGGCCAAAAAAGCATGGAAGTGGTGTGTCTCTTCCCTCAGCTCTACGAGCTCTTTGCATTGAGCTCTGCAGTGTTTAATTTCAGGTTTCCGACCCCTTTTTTTTCTGAACTTTCTGACAAGCTTTATAAATTCTGGACTTTGAATGGATGTAGAGAAGACTGCAGATAAACAGGATCAACATATATAAGAGGATTTGTTTCAGCTCTGTGTATCACCTGAGGCCAGTCACTTCACTGGGTATATGTAAGGGTTTACAACCACTTTAATTGACTATTGATGTTTTTGTTACAATGTAATAATACATTTACTCTTGGTGTTACAATATAAAAGTTGTGGGTAGCGTTCAAGCACTCCTTTGAAAAAGTCTAAAACTGTGATGTTATACAGCTGATTGGATTTTTTATAGTTAATATCCACTGATTTTCCATGGCTGATTACATAACAATTGCAGCATGAAGTTAAATTCTCGTATTGATTTCTGCATGATCTCAGCTTGTTCTTACTCAAGTAAGGGCACGTTCACACTAAAACACACGCATTAGTGTGTGTTCCATTGACGTGTTTGAGATTTGACGTGTTTGAAATGTGCTGTGTAGTGTCTTTGAAAGTGGTTTTAAAGGAATCTGATACCAGAAGAAATATGGGAGCTGCCATTACTGACTCTATCCAAGATTGTTAATTGTTAGGCAGACTCTAACTTCAGTAGTTTGTTACTAAGAGCAAGCATTAGGAAAGTAAGAATGAAATCAAACCTGATCTGAACGCTTTTTCTTGGTCTAAATGAGTCAGGTCTTCTCATCCAACATCCATACCTGATCTCACAAATTCTCTAATTTTTCTTACGGCTGAATGGACGCAGATTTATGCAGACACATGCCAAAATCTAGTAGAAAGCCTTTCCAGAAGAGTGAAACTGTTGCAGCAACAAGGAAGGGGGAAACTCCATATCAATGCCAATGATTTTCAAACGAGATGTCCAACAGGCTCATATAAGTGTATTGGTCAGGTGTCCATAAATATTTGGCCATATTAATACAGCATGATTCTATTTTTGATCCAAGATTTTAAAGGGAAAAATGTTATGTGCAGCTTTTCTATGGATAGCATACCCTTGTTAAATTGTCACTTGAACCATATACATCATTAACATGCTTGCAACACAACATTGAATCTTTTTTTTTCAGGAGCCCTGTATATGACTAAGTGTACATGCTACTGTATTTGTTTCCCTATTTATATATGTATACCCATCATGCATTATGGACACGCTTGAGTTGAGCATTTCTTTAGGTTGTACTGTGGTGCCATTTTTCTTTCCAGATATACTCTGTTTCATCTTACAGATTAGTAAAAATTGCCTTTTGTTTGACAACAAAAACTGCCTAACATAAGTAGAATATCTTATGGTTGAATAAACCTATATTTTCTGGGGTTACTAAATTATGCTAAACCAATGTAACTTACGTATAATAAATACATCTCATCAGAAACCAGCCATTTAGCCCAGTGATATTTTATTCTAATATGTCTGCTAATACTATTTTTCTGGGATTGCCAAGGTCAGTGATTGTACAAAATCTTTATTATTCTCCATAAACGTTATTGCACTTGCAACAACATGGTTAAATACCATTTGAGATACTATTTTTGTTTGCATGAGCTGTTAAATTTTCAAGATAAGCTTTTGGAGTGTATCCCCTTCTTGCCGATTCAAGCAGTGCTGATACAATTTGAGGCCTGTTTACCAAAAATCCATTGGACAAATGTTACAAGCATTCACCTATCCTTGAATTCTGGCCATCATTTTCTTGATACAGTGATTTCCCGTAATCATCTGCTCCATGTAGTGGCCATAATACGGGATTTTTCCTTAAATACTTCAATCAGATAAAATACTGCATTATGACTGCTAGATGGAGCTGACGATCATAGATCACTGTATTAGGAAAAATATGTCCAGAATTCATTAGAGATGGGCAAATACTTTTCACATTCATCCAACGTACCTTTTACAAATAGACATTTGTATATCACAGACCATACTGAACTGTGCAGTTAACAGGTGCAATCTATAAAAACCATGACAGCTGCAATACAACTGCAATGTATAGAGGTTTCATTGTAATAACAAACAACCACTTATTCTATAATAACAGCTAAATGCCTTGACATAATAAATCATATGCTATTTTGCAGTGGTGTGCGCTGTGAAAGCTCTTTCAAGACATGTGGTGGGAAGAGCATTTGAAGACATTGTCAACAATTTCAGAGGGTTCTACAGGGAACTAAGCAGCGATGGGCAACTGCGATGGGTATGGTGAACCTTGACAGCTTTTTTTCTGTCTTCCTGGTTTAAAATGTTTAGAAAAATAACTTCTTTGGAAAATCATACATACTGTAAGTATATTCAATGACTTATGTAGGTTTAGGCTTCTGGAAGCAGGCAGTCAGATAAACACATATTATGAATTGTGCTGCAAGCCAAAGAATTTGTAGGTCTAATCAGCCAATCCTGTAACTACAGAACATGCTCCCCTCTTCTCATCTCCATAGCACAAATGTTAGGTGTTCTCCAAAAGGTAGAACTCAGGCAGAGAATTTCAGTACAGCAGAGGCCACAGAGAGAGTGCTCAGCTCAGTAGGCACTCACTAGATTTGTGACAGAATTAACAGGTATTGTCATGCACTTTCAGCATTTCTAAACATAGAGAAATGTCTATGTATTGCAGAGCTACACTGAATGTTTTTTTTTTCCTTTGTTTATTTTGCTGAAACATACACTTGTACACATTTCACTCAGACATACTGACACGTGATATTGTAGGTAACTATTTTTTACCTCCAAAAGAATTGGTTTGAAAATTACAGATTTGACATTTCTAAAACCGCAAAGGCAGCAATTACCTCTTTTTATAGCTACACAAAGCATGAGAAGAGAATTGGCAGGTTAGTTCTAGTAAATCTAAAGCCATTTTGTTTTTCATTTTGGATAGAGTAGGAAAGAGTTAAAATCCCAATCCAGTTCTTTTTTGCTGCCTCTGTCCTGTTGAGGAGATATCTTTCCACTTCCTGTCCTGGAGATGTAACAGGAAGTGGGTAGAAACCTCTAAAAAATTAGAGGAATTCACCCTTCAGGCAGCTGTCACTGGATTGGGTCTCCCCATTGGCAGATTTACCTTCACCTCTTATTCTGTTGACAACTCTAAAATGTTTTGATTTCTCAGCCCTTTCTGTCTCAGCGACAGTGATCGCATGGACAAAAAAGAGAAGCTGAATCTAATTACAGGAAAACAGACTGCAATAAAAGCAGAGGTTCAAATTATTCCCTACTCTATCTTTAGAGAATGCTTTGACTATATATACACCCTATAAACTTTGAACCACCTGTAACTATGGTAGCTAAAAAAACCATATAAGATATTAATATAATATTAGTAAATATGGTAAAAAAAAATAACTTGTAGTTGTCTTGTCTTACACTGCTCACCCCAAAAACCAGTAGACCCATTCAGGACCACAATTTTCAGGGGTTCAATACCTGATCCATTTTCCTAGATTATTGTGTAAAGACATTAGATCCCTATCTTAGCTCAGCAAGTGTCAATGATTCAGTAAGTATGGGGTTTCTGTAAGTGAAGTAGTGAGTCATAGGATATGATCAGAAACTTCATTAGCTGGGTTCTGCCTCCACAGCTCAGGCAAAAACCAGGCAAAATTTCATTGCAAACTTTTTTTTTTTGCTATTATCTCATAAGCTCATTAGTGTCATAATTAATACAATGATGTCATTGTACATAGATGGCATTAACATGAAAAGTAAATAATTACATAACCAATCACCAATCATGCTGATGAAGGTCTTAAACTGACAAAACACTAGTAACGTTTTATGAGAACGTTTGTATGGGAATTCGGGGAAAAAAATGTTTTATCTAAGCATTTGATCTTGTCATGACTGAGTCAACTAATTTCATCAGAAAGCCCTTAAACATTCATCCTTGAAAAGAATCCAAACCGCATTTAAAAAGGTTTCTTTTGTGCCTAGAACATGCATCACAAATCTGTTTTTTTTTCTAAATGTAAATCACATTCACAGTTTGAATTTTGTTTAAGAAAAAATGTACATCCTATGGTCAAAAGCAATTCTCAATTTGACCCCCACTAACTATTGGAAAATTGAACAAACATTCCATAAACTAGCATTTTCTAACAAAATTCTCCAGGTGTATGGCCAGCTTTATAATGATTCTGAAAGTCTTCAGTGATTATAGAGCTTGCATTTTCTTTAAAAGTGATATAATAAATTCAGTCGTACATATGGATTTTTATTACAGGTGCTTATATAATGCCAGCAATTTATGCAGCGCTTTACATATACAGTTGTGTTCAAAATAATAGCAGTCAGACATCACTAACCTGATCAATCACTGTTTTTGGTAGAAATGATATTTCTACATGGCAAATAATTTACTACTAATTTACTAATTCTGAGGAAAATGGGTCGTTCCAGACATTGTTCAGAAGAACAGCGTACCTTGATTAAAAAATTGATTGAGAGGGAAATCGTATAAGAAGTGCAGAAAATGATAGGCTGCTCAGCTAAAATGATCGCAAATGCTTTAAAATGGCAACCAAAACCTGAAAGACGTGGAAGAAAGTGAAAAACTACCATTCAAATAGATAGAAGAATAGCCAAAATGGCAAGGACTCAGCCAACAATCAGCTCCAGGAAGATCAAAGAAGGTCTAAAGTTACCTGTGAGTACTGTTACAATTAGAAGACACCTATGTGAAGCCAATAGCTATCTGCAAGAAGCCCCTGCAAAGTCCCACTGTTGAACAAAAGACGTGCTGAAGAGGTTACAATTTGCCAAAGAGCACATTGACTGGCCTAAAGAGAAATGACGCAACATTTTGTGGACTGATGAAAGTAAGATTGTTCTTTTTGGGTCTAGTGGTCGGAGACAGTTTGTCAGACGACCCCCAAACACTGAATTCAAGCCACAGTACACTGTGAAGACAGTGAAGCATGGTTGCGCAAGCATCATAATATGGGGATGTTTCTCATACTACGGCTATTTATCGCATACCAGGGATCATGGATCAGTTTGAATACATCAGAATACTTGAAGAGGTCATGCTGCCTTATGCTGAAGAGGAAATGCCCTTGAAATGGGTGTTCCAACAAGACAACGACCCCAAACACACCAGTAAACGTGCAACATTTTGGTTCCAGACCAACAAGATTGACGTTATGGAGTGGCCAGCCCAATACCCGGATCTTAATCCAATAGAAAACTTGTGGGGTGACATAAAAAATGCAGTTTCTGAGGCAAAACCAAGAAATAGAGAAGAACTGTGGAATGTAGTCCAATCCTCCTGGGCTGGAATACCTGTTCACAGGTGCCAGAAGTTGGTTGACTCCATGCAACACAGATGTACAGCAGTTCTCAGAAACAGTGCTTATACAACTAAATATTAATTAAGTGATTCAAAGGAAAGCAAAATCTTCAAATATTTTTCAGTTTATATAGTGAATGTTTGAGTTTGTAAGGAAGAATACAAACACTGCTATTTTTTTGAACAGTCTAATATTCACTTTTCTTCAATTTGTTTAGAGGAACAACATAAATTTGATATATTTTTCTTCATGTTTTGATTTGGAATAGAATGTGTAGTGTTCCCAATGCATTTGTGTTTATGAAAATACAAGCTATTAGAAGGATTTTGAGCTTTAGTCACTTTTTTCAACACACTGCTATTATTTTGAACACAACTGTATATTGTACATTCACATCAGTCTTTGCCTTCAAGGAGCTTACAAGATAAGGTCCCTAAGTCACATTCATACATGCACATACTAGGGCTAAGTTAACATACTAGCATGTCTTTGGAGTGTGGGAGGAAACCCACAGAGGCATGGGGAGAAAATGCAAACTCCAGGCAGGTCGTGCCGTGGTTGGGATTTGAACCAACTACCCTAGTGCTGCTCAGTGGAAGTGCTAACCACTTAGCCACTGTGTGAATGCTGTAACACAGAGGTGTCAAACTGGTGGCCCTCCAGCTGTTGCGAAACTACAAGTCCCATCATACCTTTTGCCTTTGGGAGATATGCTTGTAATTGTCAGCCTTACAATGCCTCATGGGACTTGTAGTTTGGCAACAGCTGGAGGGCCGCCAGTTTGCGTAACTCTTCTTTCTACAATGCTAAGTTGCAACCATTAATTCTGAATCCATAAACACAAAGGTAAACTAAAAGAAAAAAATCCTTGGCCATTTTAAAAATACAGATAAATGTCTTGGCAGTATTTCTTTGATTGAATGTGGTAGGAAGTTAGGAATTCTAGCAGAGGAAAGCAATAGCAAAAATACCTAAGTGCCAAATACAATTACATTGTAGAACAATTCCAACCAGAAGCTTTTCCAGCAAAGAATATCATGAATCATAGTTATGATGCTATTGGGAGATTTAGCCACCCATATTTCATTGTATTGAACTTTTGTTCTAGGTAATTTAATAGGCTGAGTCATCTAAACTCTGACGTCCCTTTTTTTGGCTTTTCACAATTTAATTTTTTTTTCTAATTTATTTAGCAGTATGAGTGACAAGAGGCTTTTATAGGGTTTTGTAAATAAAACCTTTCCTCTGTATTATTAGGATGAATTCAGGTTTTGGTGTTGTGCATGCTAATAAATTTTTAATATGCTAAGTAAATACTTCAAATTATAGACAGCAGATGTGAAGTGCTCTGGACCCCTGCAAATTAGAACTAGGCAGCAGCTGAACAATAAAGTCGTTTCCCCACTTGTAGTAAAATGATATTCCAAATAGTTGAACAGTGTTTACCTAATGTTTAAAACCAGTGACCTGAATAGATATGCATGTAAGTATATATCTGGTGAAATTTCACCTTGTAGGCCAATGGTTGTTAAATGCACTTGCAGGCATGTATATCCAAACCTAATCTCTGCTGCTTTGTACATAGAGATTAACATTAGCTCCCTTCTACTGAGTGGCTATATTGAAGTTGTTCTATCAACATTTAACCAGCCATAGATGGTTTGAATCTTGGCCCTTTCAGCAGAGACTGGCCAAGATTCGATCCATCTTTGGGCAGGCTGATTGTACCTTTTCTTTTATTTTTGTACATTTTGACTGGATCTCTACTTTAACATATATCTGATACTACATCCACTTCTTGGCTGTGAAAGTGGATCTAGTATCAGATATATGTTAAAGTGGAGATCCACTGAAAATTAAAAAAAATAAAAGGTACAATCAGCCTGCCCATAGAGGAATCGAATCTTGGCCTGTCTGTGCTGAAACGGCCAAGATTCAAACCAGCAGCAGGGAGCTAATGTTAATCTCTATGTACAAAGCAGCAGAGCTTCAGAGGTAATTGCTGTGATTTATCAACATGTTGTACAAGAACTATTCAGTGTATAAAGCAAATCCTACAGTCCCCTGACTGACAAACATAAGTCCACAACTCACTGCTTGTTGTGGTCAGTGTCTTGCAAGCCAGTCATACCAGGCTTCATCTGATTTGGGTCAGTTTGATTTACGAAGGGATCACAAGGTGAACTCAATACATATGTATGATAATTTGAAGGGTCTTTAATGATAAGGTGCTTGGTGTATAATTTTACTGGCCATGGTCCAGGATGTATCTTAGTCTACGCACCCAGTACCAATGTAAGCATTTTGGGAGGGAAGAAATGGGAGCCAGTTTAGTGTAAAGCTGGTTCCATGCAATGATCTTCCAGATCAACGAGTGTTGGAATGCTAGTAAGCTACCTTACAATACTGTATTTTATATCTTCCAGTTTATAATAGAATCTGCAACTCTGTTTTACTATATGGGCAACACAGACAGTTCTTTGTATAGGTAGTGATACTGTGATGAACAAATCCTTTAAAATGCCAGGCCTTGTATGTAATGTAGCTGCTGCAAAAAAGCATCTTTTTGGGTATAACTTTATTTTTTATTTTTGTCAGATTGGTCCTGAGAAGGGTGTAGTGCAGCTGGCAACTGCTGCCGTACTTAATGCAGTATGGGACCTGTGGGCTAAAAAGGAAGGAAAGGTATTGTATGATTTTTTATAGATGTTCATGGCAATTTGCTTTATGCCTATACTACACAAATGTTGTGTTTTTTGTTTTTAATCTTGTGATAATGTGGTTAAAGGCTATGATCCTATTTATTCCAGGCACTTATATAGTGCTGTCAATTTACGCAGTGCTTTACATATACTATATTGCCAAAAGTATTGAGACGCCTGCCTTTACACGCACATGAACTTTAATGGCATCCTAGTCTTAGTCTTAGTCCGTAAAGTTCAATATTGAGTTGGCCCACCCTGTGCAGCTATAACAGCTTCAACTCTTCTGAGAAGGCTGTCCATAATGTTTAGGAGTGTGTCTATGGGAATCTTAGAACATTCTTCCAGAAGTGCATTTGTGAGGTCAGGCACTGATGTTGAACGAGAAAGCCTGGCTCGCAGTCTCTGCTCTAATTTATCCCAAAGGTGTTCTATCGGGTTGAGGTCAGGACTCTGTGCAGGCCAGTCAAGTTCCTCCACCCCAAACTCTCCCATCCATGTCTTTATGGACCTTGCTTTGTGCAGTGGTGTGCGGTCATGTTGAAACAGGAAGGGGCTGTCCCCAAAGTTGAGAACATGAAATTGTCCAAAATGTCTTGGTATGCTGATGCCTTAAGAGTTCCCTTCTCTGGAACTAAGGGGCGAAGCCCCACCCCTTAAAAACAACCCAACACCATAATCCCCCCTCCACCAAACTTTACACTTGACACAATGCAGTCAGGCAAGTACTGTTCTCCTGGCAACCGCCAAACCCAGACACGTCCATCGGATTGCGAAACAGAGAGAAGCAAGATTTGTCACTCCAGAGAACACGTCTCCACTGCTCTAGAGTTTAGTAGTGACGTGCTTTGGACCACTGCATCTGACACTTTGCATTGCACTTGGTGATGTAAGGCTTGGATGCAACTGCTTGGTCATGGAAACCCATTCCATGAAGCTCTCTACGCACTATTGTGCTAATCTAAACGAAGTTACGAAATCTTACACGAAGTTTGGAGGTCTTTAGCTATTGACTTGGCAGACAGTTGGCGACTGCATAATCACTGTATAAGTATGTACTTATACCTTACCCATAGGTGTTGAGCTTAATAAGCATGCAGATATAGCTCCTAACTGAAAATCTGGTCCAAATGAGGACTTGTTTAGTCCTGTTGTAAATAATATGCGATGTTATTCAGCAGTTGAACACTGGAAGTAGGAAAAACATCCAGTACAAACAGGGCAACAAGTTCAATCATTAAAAGTGAAATCACAATATTGCCATTTAAACATCAACAAGCTAAGCTTGCTATAATATAAGTCCCAAACTTTGCTGGTTAGCTCACAGGTCTGTATTAGGGCTTTGAAAAATTGCACAGTGAAAGTGTTACTAAACCCACAACAGTAAAATCAGTCTGTATATGCAGTAAAGCTTTGTTGTACTCACTCTGGAACCTAAGGGGTTAATCCTCTGCATTGTGTAAAAAGGCTGTTTGATCCTTTCTTCTCTGTTCCTCCCCTTTTTCAAGCGACCACCACTTATCTTCAGACTGAACCGTAGGCATGCACATGTTCAGTTTGGTGTGTTTTGCTATAGAGGTTTTTTTCTTGGGAGCATGCATGGGATCAGCACAGGGCCAATCAGCACTGTCCAGACAGAGGTCAGGGAATTCCCATCCTCCTAGAACAGAAAGTAAACTCCTCCTACAAGCTTTAGCTGGTGCTGGGCTGGACACTGATAGAAGTCAAAAGACTGCTCTAACTGCTAATGAGAAAAGGTGTTTAGCAGTTTATATTTACTAAAATAATTGCACTTCCATGTTGTGTGTACTGTGAGAGATCAGATATAGTGGCTGCAGGATCCTGGGTTTAGTAACACTAACAAATTTAATTCCAAAACAACAAAGTGTTAATTGATGTACTGTCCTATTAAGATACTACACACAGAAAGAAACAGATGTGCGGTCCCTTAAGGGTAATCTACTTTGAGAAGCTCCCTGTCACATACCTGGTTGAGACCGAGCTGATGAAAGGGCTTTCTCTTACAGCTCCTGTCCTGTTTCTCCTGGAGGTGGTGACAGGGAATACCAAGACACAGAGTGGCACGGGTGCCTTATAGGAGATCCTTGCAAGAAGAACCTTGCAGCAGGTGCCAAGCACCAGACGACCTGATGAGCTGGCCAATGCAAAGACACAGCAGCAGGTGCAGAACTGCGGGCAAGCAGGCAGATGTAACATACTCTGGCAGATGCAGAGGCTCTGTAGTAGGTACAGAACAGCAGGCAGATGTAGGATACTTTAGCAAAGCCTTTTTCAACCAGGGTACCCAGGCACCCTGGGGTGCCTTGAGGTTTCTTCAGGGGTGCCTTGGCAAAATGTCTAAAAATTGCCAAAAAAACTTCTATACAAGCCAGCGGGTGGAACAGGCTTACACAAAGCCACAGGTTTTCATTGTGCACCATTATGACCTTCTAGCCACCGGCATCCTGACAACCAATGACATCATCAGTTGATAAGGAGGATATTAGCTGCCTACACAGCATCCTAGTTTGCTCTCCCCTGCCCCTCTCCATCAGTGTTGGGGTCACATTAGTTCAGCGATGGAGAAAAACTGAGAGAGAAGAGAAACACTGAAATACTAGTCAGTACCAGTGTGAAAAAGTGTATTTGCTTTGGAAGAATAAAAGACCTCTAATGTTGGATATCCTACATGTGTGGATGTTGCTGTGTGTTATATAAAACTATTAGAATAGTTTTTCATATTTTAGAATGGGGTGCCTCAAGATTGTCTATAATTTTAAAGGGTGCCTCAGGACTGTCCATAATTTGAAAGGGTGCCTTGACTGAAAAAAAGGTTGAAAAACACTGCTCTAGCAGATGGGAAGGCACTGTAGCAGGTACAGAACATTAGGCTGGCAAGCAGGCATGTGCAGGATCTCAGGTTGTCACACAGACAAGAGTCGATATCAGCCAGGCAAGAGAGGTGCAGCATCAGGAACCAAAACAGTCAGAGGCAGTTTGGTGTTGGTAGAGCAGGAAAGGTACCAAAATAGCAGGCAGAAGGCAGGGTCAGGTCACAAGCCAGAATCAGCAATGGGGTATCAGGAACAAGCATGGTCAAAACAATGATCAGGTCACAAACGATAGCAGCTGACAACCACTCAGCAATCCTCCAGTCTCTGGAGCCACTTTAAATAGGCAAGCGGGCACCAAGTATTTGCACGTGTTTTACTCTAATGCGCGTGCACACCTGCAAAGGGAAGGGCGCGTGAGTTAGGGCATGTCTAGTTGTCACTCAAATTATTATGAGCATGCGCACATCTTCGCACACGACCATGCATACGTTTTCCCTGACACTCCATTCCTAGATAGTTTATCCAGCAGACACTGCTGTAAAACAATTATTTATCCTTTGTATGTGGCTGAACAGTCTTTCCTTGACGATGTAATTCAGTTCTTTACACTATCTCCTGAAGAGATGAACAAATAGATGAAGATATGGCCATTTAATATTGCAACAGAGTTATGCAATTCTAGAAATCTGAGCGATAAGCAGTGAAGCACTAGAAAATTCTTTACAGAAACCCTGTGGCACTTACAATGCAGCAGCCAGCTCTCCCCAGTCCTCTTAGGCAAACAGAAGAAAGAGTTGGAATTCTCTCCAGCCTTCCTGTGTTGTCCCACAGGCACCAAACAAAAGAATCAGACTAAAGAATCCAAAGGATGTCTCCCTGAAGTTTCTTTCAGCTACCCTCTTCCAGAAAGGTGAAAATGTCTGTTTTGCATAGTGAAGCAATTGCATTGCACATCTACATAACAGGTAGCAAAGCAAATGTCCTTGAGTTTGCTACAAACACAATTAGTCTCTGAATATAATGAGTGAATGGAGAAAAGAGCAATAAATATATTAAAAACAATCTATTATTACTACATGTATAATTATTTGTGTTTTGTTTTTGTGTTCTAGCCCCTCTGGAAGTTGCTGGTTGACATGGTAAGGCTTTTTGCAGGGCCCAACTCCAGGTAAATTGTTAAATACAGTTTTTGTGGTTCTGTGCAGCCAGTGTTTTGATCTAGGTACTCCTGTCAGAATGCTTCTATGCAAAGGACTACAAGAGGCTGATAGCAAAACAAATTTAAGTATTTATGCTGATATATACAAATACAGTTAATAACCAGTATTGGGACAGATTCGTCCAGCGCCCAGGGCAAGGATCCAGAATTGCATCCCTTCCCCGACTGTTAGTACATGTCATAGAATAGGTATACCAACTTGAATCTATTCTTTGCCCCCTTGTTTGTCTGCACCCAGGGCAGCTGCCCCTCCTGCCCTCACTTGCCCCAGCCCTGTTAATAACTGTTAATGACTACCTAGCTAGATTGTATTTTAATATCTACCTTATTCTCTGGTTCTTGAAACATATACTTGGTCTAAAGCAGTGCAGCTGAATGTACAACGTGCAACAATTTAATTCCTGGAATGGACAAGTAATAACCCTATCAAACACCTCTGCATTTTTCAAAAGATCAGATAAAAATTGAAGATGAAACTCTTTCTGATCTTCTGTCAAGATTCGAGGCACCATCTTTGTGGAAATCTTTCTCATTCCCAAATTATCCGTTAGAATTTGCCATACTGTTTCCCTCTTCACGTTTAATTCTTCTGACATTAATTGCATCAATCTGAGGGCTCAAACTCTGTCCACATTTTTTTTATTCGTCCTTTGCTTTTTTGGCTGCCCACTTCTTACATCATAATGAAAAACTTCCCGCCTCTCCTTAAACCACCAATGTCATTCAAAAACACTTGATTTCTTCATGGAATGTTCATAAGTCTGTTGTGACAGACCTAAAATTTCACTCACACTTTTGCCAATTTTCAGGCAAAATTTGATGTTAATCCCCTGCTCCAGAGTCCTGTCATTCATTTTCTGCCAAAAGCTGAATGCACACACACGTTATTTCTTCTACTACTCCATAAAGTCTGAATCACCTAGTCTGTGACCCAGGAGAGTGCAAGTTAGAACATGACAGAACACGGTCAAGTGCGAATGGCTGTGTGACTCCCCAAAATAGTACTACACCACGGGAATTCCAGAAATTAAATTGTTACACCTCGGATATAGCTTTACTGAGAATAGTGGCACTGTCTAAGGACCAGGGTGGAGCTCCAGAATGAGATGTTATATTATTATAGTCTTTTAGTCTGTTATATTTTAGTCTTAAAACAGACCTTCACAATCAAGAAAACAAACAAAAAAAATGAATAGCCCATTAAAGACAACATAAATTGCTTTTGCAACAATTCTCTCCTTCAATCCAGGAACTGTACACCCCAGTACTTCTTTTTCACCACTATATGTCCCCAGTCTTCTAAGTTGAATGAGGGCCAGCAACATTCAACTCACTTCCTCTGAGCTCAGGTTGTCATTGACATACCCTAAAGGAGAAGTTACAATGATGAATTTGGATCTCTACTTTCTCCTCCTCTCAGCATGCTTTTTTCACTACATGAACTGATTGTGCTGTTTCTTCCTCTCCTACTGTGAGCTCTACTGTACGAATACTGCAAGAGGCTGATACTAAATCAAATTCAGGTGCAAAAATACATGTAAATATGTATGAATACAGATGTGCATTAATGTATGTGTTTTATATCTGCCTGGGATTCAGCATCCCCTTGAGCTATTTAATTTTGTGGCAGGCTGTTTCATTTTCATTACAACTATATGTTAATCATCATGGGTTTTTTTCTTTTGTATCCAACAGACTCCAGAGCAGCTGGTATCCTGCATTGATTTCAGATACATAACAGATGCACTGACAGAGGAAGAAGCTCTTGGTAGGCCACATTGTACACTAGGGTCACAATATGAAAATATTATATTTACCACACTGGGAATATTTTATATGCAATAATGTTTTGCAGAAATACTTCAAAATGGGAAACAAGAACAAGAAACCAGAGGTAAATCATTAACCATTCCAAGCTGCTATGTGCACTTGTACATGTGTTTATGATCTATATTTGTCAAAATACACTCTATTCATTATGTAACCAAAAAGAAGCACATATTATTATTATACAGGACTTGTATAGCGCCGACAGTTTGCTCAGCGTTTTACATAATGGAGGGAGACAGTACAAATACAGTTCAATACAAGAGGGATTAGAGGGCCCTGCTCCTTGGAGCTTACAATCTAGGAGTTGAGTATAATGTTACAAAAAAACTCTGTCAGAGACTATGAGCGTGCAGCAGGAGTTGGTCAGAGACTGCAAATATGCTATAGAGGTTATTGAAGACTGGGGATATGTTTCAGGAGACAGTCAGTCATAAGATGGAGACACATTACATGAGACTGCTAGAGATCACTACTATTACTGTCTCTTTACAAATCAATTATTCCACATTTGTACTAATTACAGACTCCTTAAAAATGACTTGTCCCACTTTTAATGTTTCTGTCGGCAAGATCCATTATAGTAGATCTGATGAAAAAATACATAAAAAGAGAAAAAGAATGGGCAATGTGGAAGAAACTTTGCTGGCTTGAGTAATTGCCTAGATAAGGAAAACTGTGTTGGCTAAGGCACCCTCGTTGTTCTGTCATGCTTGGTCATAATATACCGTACCTAAGTTTGAAATCACTGCTAAAATCAAAGATTCGTGTGTATAGAAAATTAGGATGCATGTGTATAGGCTCCCACCACACTCATACCAGCTCATATATCCATCATCATGACACACACCCATGGGTCCAGTGGGAGATTCCAAAAGAGAAACTGGGTTTTATCTGTAACTTACCTGTTCCCATGTGTAGGCAGACACCAGGTACGTTGCTACCCTATCCCAATGATTGGGCTTAAGGGTCCTTTGGATCCTTTATCCAAAAACTAATATGCAAAATAGAAAGGTTAAATATAAAAGCCACACTTTTTAAACGTGAGCTTTATTTTAAGGAAATAACTATCCATCTGACTCTTTAAAAAAAAATGAAAATATATATATACTGTATATATATACTTTTTTTTTACACTTCCAGCATCAAGTATTATCTACCTTAAATTAAAAACACATGGTCCTTGCCCTTCATCTTTCTTCTAGGAACTTATGCCACAGAGAAAAATAACTGATTCATTTTTTTTCCAGTGATGTTAGGATTTATGGGTAATTCCCATTATTGTATACAGTATAACAGCATTACTTGATATTGATTAGATGTTACTTTATTATATGTATTTGTGGATAGATAAACCGATACACATAGTAATACATTAAATAAAATTATAATGATAATTACAAAATTTACCAGTATATAAAGTAAATAGGGTTGTGTTTTATTTGTTGTTAGAGCAGTACATGGTAAAGAATGGATACCCTGCATATACCACATCATGTGCCTGGTTAGGCTATCCAGATGAACAACTAAAAAAGGTTTGAGTTAGTGATATGGGATCTATCTGTTCCTTGCTTTGCCTGTATATCCTCCATTATTTTTAGTGTGATCATTGTAGAATTGCTTAAATACAATAACTTCATAGAATCCCCAAAATAACTTTTTTAACTGAATTAAGGGAAATGAGTAAATGATTAAAAATCCACTTCGCTGGTTGTTGCCCAATGCACTCCTGCATTCCTTGCCACCAGGTTCAAATTTGCTGTTCCCTAATTTTTTTTTCTTTTTTAAAAGGCTTTCATCAAAAAGCCTGGTGCCCCAGAAATACAAGCTGAAATTCTATTCAACTATAGAAACAAGTGGGTATCCCACTTGTATTTTTCTGACACTGACCCTTATTCCTTTCAGCATTAAGCTGGAATTTTAAGAAAGATAGGGCACCTTCAAAAACCTTCATGGTTCTCCTGGGTAATAAGGATTTTTACATTCCCAGCATCGAAAAGTAGGGGAGGAAGTGTGGAGGTATTGCAAAGAGAGAGTATATGTATTTAAAACCTCTTACTTTTTATATATTGTTGTTTTTTTCTGAAATTGCTTACAGTATCTATTTATTTATTTTTAAAATTGTATCCATTTATTAGCTTACTGGGCTCAGGGGGTTACCAATATCAGCTGTGTTGGGCATAAACCTCCCATATGTTTCCATTATTCATTTTTTTTTTTGGGGGGGGGGGTAGTGATCCATTTGCAGTGCAACAGCTTCTTTTTTTACAATGAGCGGTGTCCCACACTATTTTGGGGCCCTTTCCACCTAACACACTTGCCCAGTGATTACTGTCATATCAACATAGCAGGCAGCCACCAATATTTTGGCATGGTGATAAGGGTGACCTTAATTACTAATTTTATGGGGGCTTATGAAAATATTTTGATAGATTCTGTTAAATTTATGGATGTATTTGTTGCATGAGTTATTCCAAATACAAATTTAATTCTGTAATTTGTCCTGTTTAAAATTGCACTGAAAATATGTAGCAGGTACAGAGCATTATAATTGATTTACAATGAAGGATAATGATTTACAATAAAGGATTTTTTTTTTTTGCTAATGTGTGTGATTAAAAAAAACACTATATTTTTTACCATTGATATTTAAGTTTACATATGAATGATTAAAAAAAATATTATACATAAATGAAATCAGCTTTAAAGTGTAACTAAAGACAAAACTTTGTTTTAGTTGTGGATGGAGTGGAGATGGATTCAAATTAGAAGTAGGGAGATTCACCTTCTCTATTTGGCCTGTTTACCATTATTATTGAAAATCCCAAATTTTGGGTTGTCCTCAGAAAAGTAATAGAGTAATCTTCCAATGGGGACACTAGTTCTGGTGATGTGGGTGTTCCCAAGAAATTCCCTTAATTTGCAGGGATTTCCCCTCACTTCCTGTCTTACTATGGGTCAGGAAGTGAGAGGAAATCTCTGCAATGGAACACAGATGATGAAAGAAAAAAAATCTGACAGTGCTTGCTCTATCCAAAATAAAAAAAATTATAGCTCTACTTTGATATACCTAACGGGAGAAGAAAAAAAATTTAGTTATTTAGGCTGATTAGTAGTTAACTGCAAATGTAATACTAGGTTAAATAGGTTTTATTAACTGATGATATGTGCAGTACAGTGGACATTTATCTGATGTGCACATCAAATAACCTCTCTACATATAATATAACAGTAATATTGCTACAAGATATTGATCAGTGAAGCTGTAGACAGTTTTTGCAACATTTCTATATACAGAAACCACTCCAGCAGTTCCTGAGAAAAATAGCAGTGTAGCCAGTTCTCTGATTACTGTATACTAGAAGTTGTGGGGGAAAAGTACGAAGTACACCTAGGGATTTAGATAATTTTTATAGGGTGAACCTTGTATGCTCAAGGTGTATCCTGAACTGGTTAGGATTTGTGTCACCCTTATCCCCTACAGGCAACACAAAAACTAAATGAGACCCTGCATTCTTCTTGAAGATATCCATTGAAGAGTCCGCCAGTGCTGCTTAGAAAGTCTTTTGGTCAGCACTAGAGTGAACTCTTGGGACAATGGCTTTACTTTAGGCTTCTTCCAGACCTCAATAAATGGAACATACTGGTTCAAACATGGTACAGTCTCTCCTTTAATTTGTTCCTGCAGGAACAGTGACATCTAAAGCATGTGCATGGAGACTGTAGGTATCCTTTTTACCAGATAAAATAAAATGCTGGTAATATATATATATATATATATATATATATATATATATATATATATATATATATATATTGTCTCTAAAGCGGTATTAAACTCAAAACAAACCAAAAAATATATATATTACAGGGATGTGGTGGCTGCATTCGTTTTCTCTTTTTAGGCCTGTTTTCCCTGTTTTCTCCTGGTGATCCCAGTAACACACCTCCTCTATTAAATTGCTCCCACTTTGGATTAATGAGCACAGGGGGCACCTTTTGGACAGAGGCATTGTCAGTCTGGAGGAAGGATAGTGTTAGATGTATTAGCAAATGTAGACATTAACAAAGTGAAGCCAAACTCCAGCTCACACTTTATAAGTAGTTACAGCAACAGTTTCTTTTTTTTCCTTTTGGGATAAAGGTTTTACATAAATAAAAGCTAGTCATTGTAAGCACCCCTGTCAGTGTTAAATGCTTTTCCTCATGCCTCTAATTACTACATCTACAAGGGAGCTAGCTCATTTGTAAAACAACTGGCCTACTGATCAACAGGTGAAACTAAGGGAAAGAAAGCTTAAAAGGAAAACTAATGCAGTAATCGCATCTAAGAATTGAAAACTAATGCAGTAATCGCATCTAAGAATTGGTAAGCTGCAATATAATGTTTGCTTTTGGGTTTAATACTGCTTTAATTATAGGTCATTGTTTTTTCAAAGCATTGATTGTATAGGTTTAATTCTAACATTTGCTGTTATATTCTAGTTGTGTACAGATGCACTGAAGGAAGGGTGGACAAGGTATTTTTTAAATATTTTATTTTCTAAATCTGTATGTTATAGATGATGTTAAACATTTTGGGAGTTTGCCAGCACCCAGCTATTGCAATTTTCCAGAGAATATATAACTATTATGACATAGAATTTTATATTATTTATTTATTTGTCATTTTATGTCCAGTTTTACTTTTCTGCTGTAGCCAAAACATTTTTCTTTGCATTTGGATAGATTAGTGAAGGGTTAAAATCATTGTCAAGTTTTAATTACTGTGTACCAATATGGACACAGACAGCAAAAAAATCCTGAAAATGATCTTATCCTTTCCGCTCTATATTAAAAGTGTAGTTTAATCTCTGTTAATTACTTTAACTTCTTGTTGAGGTGACAGAAGTATAGGATGTATGGAGAAGTTTGTTCAACAAGATGACACTGAAAAGGTTGTAACCCTTCCCTATTCAATTGAAAACCAAAAAAAAAGTTTTTTGTCTGGAGTTAGCATTACTATGGGTATACATCAACGCACACGTAAAATGGAAAGTTAAGGAAACTATCACATTCACGTGCATCACTAAGTGTGTAGAAAATATAAACTCCTTCCAAATAAACCTTGGGGGAATTAAACTCAAGTCCGCAGGTTTTCTGAGCATCATTGCTATCTATCTAGCCAATAAGGGGTCTATGTATAAAAAAAATTCCCGTGTGAATGTCAGTCATTTGCAACAAATCTTTGCCGTAATTTGCTTAATATGTTTATTTCCATACAGTGGCAATAATTTTGGTATTTGTTTGTGACTGATTTAAAAAAATAAAATAGTGCATTATTGCCACTAGATGGTACTGATAATTTTAGGAAATAAATGTATTAAGCAAATTATGTGAAGATTTGTTGTGTCTGCTCAAATGATTGACACATTCGTACAGCAAATGTGTTACACATAGACCCCTAAGGTATTATTTTGCCATTCTTGTTTAAGTGGAGATGCAACCAATGCTGACAGGTAAACATACCAGAAATACATGTATATTCTGAATATATGGTTTCCCTTTTTGCCTGGATAAGTAAAGTTAGCTTCTATTTGCTATGATGCCAGCAGGTTTTAGAAGTACTATCAACACTGATATCAACCTGCTACAGCACTTTCATATTTATATTCTTTGTTTCTCATTTTATCCTTTTTAGATTTAAAGTGAAAGTAGGGGCAGACTTACAAGATGATATTAGAAGGTGCAAACTTATTAGAGAAATGATTGGGCCTGACAATAAACTGGTGAGTAATCAAAATGTATTTTAACCATTTACACAATGCTCATATATTGTGAACTAATTTAGTTTTAAATTGGATAAAGAAAGGTACAATTGAATTTTAATGCAAGTATATGGCTACTATTTATTTCTCTTCCTGAAGATGCTATATGGCTGGCTTTCATGCCACTTCAGTGATTTCAGACTTAGGCTTGCCATACATTATACAATTTTCTTGAGAATTTAGATTTACCAAAAACCATATAATATGAGGTCAAACCTAAACAACATTTTCAACTGTATCCAATTAGGCAAGCCCTTGCACTACATAGTTAAAGGTAAATCTAAAGGAAATTGGACAGAAACTGTAAGAAAATTGTATAGTGTATGGCCAGCCTTACTAACCAAGAACAAACATGGACTGCTGACTCCTCTGGCTGCATCATTTTTGCAGATCAGTGACTCGGAAGGTCTGAAGCCAGAGAGAGCACGCACCTAGTGTATTCATAAAGAGGCCAACAAAGGCAGTCTACATATTTGTCTCAGGATAAGCTTCATTTAATTCGCAATCCATTAACTCAAATGGTCTTAATTCCATGGGTCCCTAGTGTTAATGGGACCAAGAGTTATTTTAGATTTTACTCAGTTCAGTGAAACCTCTTTCTCATTGCAAGCATGCAATTTGGACAGTTCAAGGGTGATTCCAGGTGACAAATAAAATCTGTGACATCCTATTGTTAATGAAGAACTGCAGCAAATAGGTACACTCCAGTTACAAACAAAAATGAAGTTGATAATGAAATGTGTGCAGTCTACCTGCTCCGTACACCAATGTTTAATCCAGGCATCCCTTTTGTTGGTAATCTTGTGGTCTGAGAAGTCTTTGTGATACAAGAGATGAATTCTAAAACACACCCCCCTGTCAGCATCTTGCTTTTTTTTCTTCATATAGAAGGCCTTAAGTGACAAAATGAAAGCTAAAACGTTTCTCTCTTATTGTTGCATCCTGGGCTATGTTTATTGGATCAAATGAGTTATGAGTACATGTGAGCAACATGTCAGCTTGGGAACCCAAATTATTTGCTTGTTGAGTAGTTGAGAGACATACTGAGCTGAGTTAAAGGTGAGCTAAATCTACAGCTGCCCCAGAGCTACTGCCATTATGTCCAAGCATGCATATTATGGTACACTTATCCCCTAGTGTGCCCTTCAGCAATGATAGGTCCATGCTCCTTCTCATCATTTTGTCCACTGTTGCTGCCATCGTTTCCCAGTCAGGCATCATCTCTCATCCCTTGGCCATTGGGGTGCTGATGATGATCTAAGTCCTGCACATGCAGAATGCTAGAAGGGAGCTGGGACTGCACTGTTTTTTGTGCCTGAGGCAGTGAATACAAAGAAAAGTTTTATAACCTAACCTAACGTTTACCTATCTTCTAAAAAAAAAACAAAAATCTCTACTTATGATTACATTTCTATTCTTTTAGTTCCTCTTTAATCCTTCTAGACCCACTATATTTTTAGACATGCCAAATATACAAGTTGATGCTAAATATGATTCATTACATTTAGATGCTTGATGCAAACCAGCGGTGGGAAGTGAATGAAGCCATTTCATGGGTGAAAGAGTTAGCTGTTTTCAAACCTCTCTGGATTGAGGAACCCACATCCCCGGATGATATTCTTGGCCATGCAACAATCTCCAAGGTAATTTTTTTTCTTCAAATAAAAATATTGGGTGAATATGTTTCAAAATATAATTATTTGAACCATCTTAACATTATGGATATATGATCTCAATACATTGGGCAAAAGATAACAGTTTAAAATACACCTGCAATGTAGACTGCAACAACCTAGCATATGTAGCACTACCCCTTAAGGGTCGCTGAGTTATTTTCGGGCTCTTTGTCATTCTTGACCCCATTCTGAAAGCCCAACCCCTGCTGACACCATCCTACACTTACTGTCAGGGAACGAGAAGATCGCCACGATGCATGAATCTGCACATGCGTAGGATTCCGACAAGACATAGAGGCAGGAGGGCACTAGGACCCAGGCGCGCTTGTGACCAATGACAGTGCTGGTAGGCACTAGGACCCAGGCACGCCTGTCAGTGCCGAGCTGGCTATTTAAACCAGCTCTTGCAATGCTCACATTGCCGTATGGTCTTATTCCTGTGTTCCTGTTCCTAGTACCTGAGATTGCCTTTGTTGCCGGACCTGCCTGACCCGGATTATCGTGATTCTCTCCTGCCCTGATCCCTGGCTTGTCTGATTATACTTCTGCTTTCTCCTGTTTACCTGACCTCCTGTTGCTGAACCTGGCCTGTGACCCGTTTATCCTTTTGCCTGCTGATCTGTACTGTCTGCCTTTGCTATTACCGACCTGGCCTGTCTGACTACATTATACGCTACCTCTTCACATCTGGCTCTCACTTGTACCTACCACTGGCAAATCCACCTCTACCACAGCTGGTTGAACTCAGGGGTCGCGACCTGTTCTCAGGCTGCTTCAAGTCCATCGCCACCGTCAGGGGCTCTGGTGAAACAGTAGACTGGGGCTTAGATTCCGCACCCTGAGGGATTCCGGCCTGTGGGTCGCTAGAGGCTACCGCCAGTCGGTCCTTAACAGAACCATACGGCCATGACTGAGCCGGGAAGAGGTCCCTCACCCTGGGATGAGATATGCCAACAGGTGGCGGCACTCACCCAAGCTGTCAAAACACTCCAAGAAAGCTACACCCACCTGGAGGGACGTATTCAGACCCTAACTACGCCAGCAACCACACCATCAGCTCCAGTTGATCCTCCTCCGGCCAGGGGCCAAGCAGAACCTTCCGCTGGAGCAGTGTTCGCCATGCCTCCGCCAGAACCTCGAGTACCAACCCAAGCAGTTCAGTGGGGATCGAGGGAAGTTCAGGGCCTTCCAGAATTCCTGTTTGTTGTACTTTGACCTACAGCCACAGACTTTTTCGTCAGAATCTGTAAAGGTGGGATTCATTATATCCTTACTGCAGGGGGAACCCCAAGGCTGGGCCCACCGCCTGCTGGAGAGTCGCCATTCGCATCTGGACTCAGTTTCCTCATTTTTCAGAGCAATGGCAGAATTATACGATGACCGCGCAACAAGCTGCTTCAGCTGAAGCAGTGCTACATACCTTGCAGCAGGGTCGCCGGGCAGCAGAGGACTATGCCTCAGAATTCAGGCGCTGGAGCGGGGACACCCAGTGGAATGACGCAGCTTTGCGTCACCAATTCCGCCTAGGCCTATCTGAACCTCTAAAAGACGAGCTAGCCAGAGTAGGGGTACCTGACTCCTTGGAAGGATTGATAACTCTGGCAATTCAGGTTGACCGCAGGCTTCGGGAACGGAGGTTTGAAAGATCCAGTCAAGGGTTAAAACTCACATGGATGCTACCATGGGTTCTGACCATTCCAAACTCGGAATCCGGAACCAGCAGAGGGAGCCGAACCAATGCAACTTGGGTTGATGCGGCCTTCCCTAACGTCTGAAGAGCGCCAGAGACGCCGGGTAAACAACCTTTGCCTATACTGTGGAGCAGCAGGCCATGTGGTACGTTCCTGCCCGGAGAAGTTAACCTCCCTGGCGGTATGATTATTTCATTTTTTCAGATTTTTGGTGCTGAAAGCGGTACCATTATTTTGCATGGAAATATGTAGTTTTTTTATTGTAGGCTGTAATTTTTAGGAATAACTCACTGAAATCTGTCCGAACAAGAGTCTATTAAACATCCCGGGTATGATAGAAATTGAAACACAAAATCATAAATTATAATTTAATAAATAATCATAAAAAATAATAAATATAATAATAATACATTTAATTCAATAATATAATCAAACCAAAAACACTGAAATTTGAAATATAGCGCCATAATAAGTTCGCACATTGCTGAGCAAAGTCGCAAAATCGTTTTCAGTGTCTGATGACGAATTTCCCCACAAATCATTATTACTCAATTCTGCAAGTGGTTCTGATTTGCTATCGCTGTTCTCTAGCTGATCTAAACCGCTTTTGACCTAAAGGGACACTTTTTGGACTCCATGGACGTTTCTCAGTTTCCAGGCAGAAAAAAACAGACAAAATGCAGGCGGGCACAGGACAAAGCACTAGGGACAAAATGTATGTGAAATTGGTTGAGACAGCAATGTTTTACTATGTAAAATGTAAAAAAAAGAAAATGACATTATTTAAAATTTTTAAATTTCCCGCCACCGTCGGCGCCCGTGCGTCCCGAGGTCACAGGGACAGGACACAGAAACCGGATGCCGGCATCGGCCGAAGGAGATGGCCGGGGACGCTGCAGGAGGGACATCGTGGGAGCGCAGGGTAAGGTAAGTGAAGAACAAATGCCGGAGCAGTGCTGCATGGTATTCCCGAGTGTAGCTCGGGGTTACCGCTCTTGGTACTGAAATGTTACCCCGAGCTACACTCGGGAATACCGCCAAGGAGGTTAAGTAAGTGCTCTTCTCCTACTTTTTCTATGACTCCTGCTTGTGTAGATAAACCCTCTCACTTAGCCATACCAATCTCATTTCAACTCCCTGGAAGAACCGTACAGGTGACGGCCATTATTGACTCAGGGGCCTGTAGTTGTTTTGTTGACCTCAATTTTGCAGCGCAACAGCAGATTCCCTTACTGACCAAGGAGCATGGCTTGAACATCCTCTTGGCTGATGGGACTCAAGTTAAGTCTGGGTTGGTAGATCGGGAGACCCCTCCTATATGCACTATAATGGCTGGTCATCATCAAGAACTCCTCTGCTTGGATGCCATTGCGTCCCCACTATTCCCAGTTATTTTGGGGCTTCCTTGGCTACGTGCACACGACCCCCAAATTAACTGGAGGACTGGGTCAATTCAGTTTAATTCACCCTATTGCCAGGAACATTGCTACCCCAGGTCACCACCAGACACCCAGACTTTGCTGTGTATAAACACAGACACTGAGCTAGCACAAACGGTTCCTACAGCATACCTCCACTACCTTGACGTTTTTTAGTCCACGGGGAGCAGACATCCTTCCCCCGCACAGGGCGTATGACTGTCCAATTGACCTTCTCTCGGGATCTGAAATTCCCTTCGGCTGAATCTTCCCCTTCTCTGAACGGGAGTTGGGGGCCTTAAAGGAATATATTGATGAAAGCCTTCGAAAGGGATTTATCCGTCAGTCCACGTCACCGACAGGGGCCGGAATCTTCTTCGTGGAGAAAAAGGACAAATCCCTGAGGCCCTGTATTGACTATAGGGATCTGAATAAGATTACAGTTAAAAACCGTTATCCTCTGCCCTTAGTCCCCGAGTTATTTCAGAGGTTGAAATTAGCCTCTATTTTCACTAAGCTGGATCTCAGGGGTGCATATAACCTGGTCCGTATACGCAAGGGGGATGAGTGGAAGACCGTTTTTCGCACTCGGTTCGGGCACTTTGAATATTTAGTCATACCCTTCGGGCTATGTAACGCACCGGCCACATTTCAACACTTTGTGAATGACATATTCAAAGATTTCCTGGACATCTTTGTGATAGTTTATTTAGATGATATCCTGATTTTTTCATCATCTCTGGAGGCACATCGAGGTCACGTCAGGAGCGTGTTGGAACGACTCGCCAGCATGGGCTCTACGCCCAAGCGGAAAAGTGTAGTTTTGAGCAGCGCAGCATCCCATTTCTGGGGTTAATTATTTCCACCACTGGAATAGCTATAGACCCTCAAAAAATCTCGGCCATCCTGGAATGGCCGGTACCCACAGATAAGAAAGGGGTTCAGCGATTTATCAGCTTTGCCAATTTTTATAGGAAGTTCATTAAGAATTTCTCAGGTCTGGTATCTCCTATCACCCAACTCATAAAGATCAGAGTACGCTTTCAGTGGACACCAGAGGCACAGGCCACCTTTGAATCCCTAAAGAAGCTGTTCACGACAGCTCCCATCTTAAGTCACCCTGATACGTCGCTACCTTATATATTGGAAGTAGATGCATCAGAAAACGCAGTGGGGGCCATCCTGTCACAAAGGGTGTAAAAGAACTGATGCATCCGGTGGCCTTTTTATCCAGGAAGCTTACCGCGTTAGAAAAGAATTATGACATCGGAGATTGGAAATTGGTTGGCCATTAAAACAGCACTAGAAGAATGGAGATACCTATTGGAGGGAGCCTTGCATCCCATTCTGGTCTACACAGACCATAAAAATTTGGAATATCTGAGGACAGCTAAACGCCTCAGACCGCGTCAAGCCAGGTGGGCGTTATTCTTTTCGAGGTTCAGCTTCCACATTACGTATCGACCAGGGTCCAAGAAAACAAAACCTGACACGCTCTCGCGTATGTATGAGGACCCCAAGGAAATGCCCAAACCAGATACCATCCTGCCAGCAGGTAATTTCCTATTGCTACAATCAGAGCTCCTGTCTAAATTACAGGCTGCGTCCCTGGAGCCCCCCAACTTACCTGGAGTTCCAATACAGAGTAGGGAGGGTCTCTTATGGAAAGCAAAACAGATCATGGTACCGGAAGAAGCTCGGACCTTGGTCCTGGGCTATTGCCACGACCATCTGTTGGCGGGCCATTTCGGAGTACACAAGACCCTAGAGTTGGTGCAAAGCACATTTTTGGTGGCCAAGTATGGCCAAAGATTGCGAGGCCTATGTAAGAACCTGTGCAGTCTGCAACAGGAATAAG